GGCATCTATAACTGACACCCACTCTATCACCCGTCTTCCATTTCGCCACCCGTTTGCACTAAACTTTTTGCTATTGATCAAATTTTTCATACCAGGAAAACATGTTTCACACATTTCCCCTTCACAAATATGACCAGATATATAGTTATGGTCGACTACCACATTAATTTTCGACGACTTTTTGAAGCAACCTTTTTTATTCCGCTTCAACATGGATGCCGCCATATTGAAAACTGTTTATAACGACGTCACGAGATATTTAGATATTTTGGTTTTTAAACTTAAAAATAATTTTTGGGTATCAACTTTTACATAAAATTGTTATATATGAGTATTAATCCAGCTGAATGAAAAAAAAATTATGCATTTAAAGATTTTTTACTTTCCCCCGTAATCTACCGTGGTCATTCCGGAAAATGCTGAGCTCTCGTTCTCAATTGTACATCCGATACCTTAATTGCTTTACCATTATTTCCATGCACATTCACACCAAAGCTTTTTTTTAAAAATATTTTTGTGGTGATAATTGCTTTTTTAACATCAGGCTCGATGCCATATGATGGTCTAGAAATTTCTGTCAAGATTAAGATCTGTGAATAACAAAAACAATTTGCACATTTTGGTTTTTTTTTTTTGAATCAGTTATCCCAGCTTCTGTATGTGTTCTTAAAAAAGCGGGCTTCATATTTTAGAGGCTTTGGCGCAGACAACAATGCGCTAATTCATGAATACCACTAAGAAATCATATATAAATACAATACACAGCACGGACATGTGTAGCGCTAATTCATGATTTCGCCAACAACTCTATACCCACTGAATGTGCTAAATTTTGAATACGCTAATTTCTGTACACGTACAGTATTTCTCTTACATCACTTAAATCAGATTTTGATTGAATAATTCATTAATGATGTGTTATGAAATAATGAAACTATTGTTTGTTAATTGTCATATTCATTAAATTTGCCAGTAACTTAGATAAGCCAACCCTAACCACCACCGTACTCTCTTTTTGGCTATTTCAGAGCTGTCTATCGAAAATGAACGTAGACATTTAATTGAATTTAGGATAATTGCCATGCAAGGGAAATCTAAATATAGTTTACAGACATCACCACATACGTAGTGTATTCTTAGAATATGAACTCTGGTGCAGGCGTTACGTAGTTTATTTGTAAAATTTATTAATTTTTAATTATAGATTTAATTTGGGTTACCAATATGAGCTCCCCTGCTGAGAATTCTATAAAATTGCTGTTGTTTATTCATATGCCTGTTTTAATTTTATAGATCATGTAGTTGACTTTGAGCAAATATAGAATTTAAAAAAAAATTGGAATATCTTTGAATTCATCAGTCATATTCATTTACGTCAAAGGGTGCAATAATGTTAATAAAGATACATTAATTGGATGAAAAAAGGTACTGTGCTTGATTTTTTAATTAAAGAAATGCAAAATAGGAAATCATGCATGAATCCATCAACTTTCATTAAAAGTTCTGGGAACCTGTAAACTACGGAAAATGATAAAGAAAAATATAAAATAAACTAGACCTTTTTTGTCGTTCAACAAAAACAGAGGGCTTTTCGATGTTTAAAATCTCAAGCACCTTAAAGAACGATAACCCTAACAAGATGAAAAAAACAGAAAAACTAATTGGACCAGATATAGTTTTCAGAAACATATAAAATTTGAAACCTAAATAGTGTGCAAGTTTGTCAACAGCTCTGCAAAGGGTGATTAGTTGTGAATTTTATTTCCCCAGGGTCACTCAGGGGTTTTGTTGTTAAAAGAGAGGCTCTATTGATTATATAAGGAAAATGCATTAATTCTATGAAAATTTTCTTCTCTGCTCCTGGGTTTATATAAAGCAGATAAACTAATTGCATGGTTATAATAAGCTAGGCACCCTAGCTTATTATAACCATGCAATTCTTCCAAACTTGTGAAACATGTCCCCTGGGACATGGGGCTCTGGTGTAAGGGCAGGGCACTATTGATCATAAAGCGAAAATGTATAGATTTTTTAAGTGTCTTTCACTCCCCCTGTGTATTTAGCAGACAAAGTAAGTGCATGGTTATACTAAGCAAGGATGCCTCTTCCAAAACTGTGAAATACTTGGTTCTTGGGTCATGGTTTTCATGTTAGGGCAGGGATCTATTTATTATATAGTGAAATGCATTATTTCATTGAAAATCTTCTCTGCTTCTGGACATCTCAGTGATGATTCTGTTCCGATATTTAGCGGAATTCCGCTAATTTGAATCCAAGAATCTGATATTTACAAGTGTTTGCAATATTTTGGTACTTTCTTTTTTTGCAGTGATCCCTTTGCAAAATTCAAGTTGTTTAGTCCATGTTTAGATCTAATCTGCATTATTCTGACATTTCCTTTCATCTCCAAGTAAGGTAAACACAAACAATAGGGATGATTCAGACTTTCATATAATGGTGATGCAGTTCATTCAGCCAGGTCATGATGTAAAAGTTGTTGAACAAACGTCACACTTCAATTTTGTCCCTCATTTTAACCTATTTTGGGCTTGCTAAAGCCCGTATTTTGTCGGCCTTTTGACCCCAAACATATTTCAGATATTTTAGCCAATTCACAGAATCATCACGACATCTAGGAGGCAGAGTACAGTGTTGTTATGAGGAAAGGTTTTTTACCAGATTTGCGAAATTTTGGACCACTTGGTCAAGTGTTCTGGTGCTGGACAGGACTTCATTGATTATGTAAGGAAATGTGTGCTCTACTGCAAGAAGTTATTTCCCCGTGCTTTTCTCCTTTGAGAATAATCACTGTAAATAGTGTAATTGATAAATGAATTATGCAAGAATTTTTATGCCCCACCATGAATATGGCTGGGCCATATATAGTTTGTCATGTCCATCTTCCGTCCTTCTGTCATGCTTTGTGTTTAGCTCAGTTCAAAGCTTAGTTTCAGAGAAACTATTCAAGATATTTTATCAAACTTCATATGCTGATAGATATTGATGAGAGCTATTCAACTGCATCAACATTTTTTGACCTTGACCTTTCCTTTAACCTTGACCTCACTTTTCTTAAATAAGTGTTTAGCTCAGTTTTAAAGAAACCATTCAAGATAGGGTAATCAAACTTCATATGTTGAAACATACAACTGCAACAACATTTTTTGACCTTAACCTTTCCCTTGACCTCACTTTTCTTAAATTAGTGTTTAGCCCAGTTTTAAAGAAACCATTTAAGATAATGTAATCAAACTTCATTTGCTGTTACATACTGATGTTAGCTTTTCAACTGCATCAACATTTTTTACCTTGACCTTTCATTTGACCTTGACTTCACTTTCTTAAAAATTTGTGTTTAGATCATTTTTAAGAAACTATTCAAGTTAGTTTAATTAAACTGCATATGCTGATACATACTTATATAAGCTTTTCAACTGCATCAACATTTTTTGACATTGACCTTTCCTTTAACTTTGATGTCACTTTTCTAAAATTAGTGTTTAGCTTAGTTTTAAAGAAATCATTCATGATATTTTTATCAAACTTCATATACTAATACATACTAATGTAAGCTTTCCAACTGCATCAACATTTTGACCTTGACCTTTCTTTTGACCTTGACTTCACTTTTTTAAGATTAGTGTTTAGCTCAGTTTTAAATAAATCATTCATGATATTTTTATCAAACTTAATATGCTGATATGTATTAGTGAAAGCTATTCAACTGCATCAGAAACATTTGACCTTGCACTTTCCTGTGACCTTGACCTCACTTTTCTTTAATTTGCATTTTGCTTAGTTTTAAAGAAACCATTTAGGATATTTTTATGTAAGCTTATACATAATTTGGTGAGAATTTATCATTTTATCTAACTTTTTAGATTTCAAAATTTTTTGTAAATAAAAGATAAATAAAAATGGGACAAAAATACCTTATCTCTGTATATTTAATGTAACCATGAGTTTATTTTACAATTTTAATAACCAACAGTTAAAAATAATCATATTTCTTCACCATGGAATCCTGATTCTTAATCACCTTTAGGAGTGCCACTTTCAGATTCTGCACAGGCCTTGTTAACTGCACTGTTGTTTTAATAATACATTGTATCTTGTGTCCACCATGGTGAAATAGCATTTAGAAAACATTATGATGTTTAAGAATATTACTATTAAGAATATTTCTGCAAAGCGCTAGCCAAAATCCAAAATTTACTGGTCCCAAACCAGTGGGCCATCAATTATTTTGAGTCCTGGGAGTGTATTAGCACTTACAAGTATTATGATTTGCTAATGAGTACTAGACTATTTTTTTTTTATCCCTGATTATCTTATTATGCCCCCCTTCAAAGAAGGGAGGGCATATTGCTTTGCTGCTGTCAGTCGGTCGGTCAGTCTGTCTGTTTATCGGTCCACCAACAGTTTCCATTCATTTTCGTCGCAGAGGTTGCACATACTCAAATTAAATTTGGTATACAGATTTATCATAAAATAATCGAATTCAAGTTCTGTTTTGGGTACGATTGAGCAATTTTTGACAGAGTTATGCCCCTTGGACTTTGAAAAATTCTAATTATTTGGGGGTGGGACAAAAGTGTTTCACAAACATCTCTTGTTTCTTTTGCTCTTGGGAAACAAATCTTCATCAGCCATTGTATTTTTATTACAATGTTATACTCAGGTAACTGTTAAGGCCCTTGGGCCTCTTGTTTAAATTGCAAAGAATATTAGGGAAAATAAATGTAAATATACTTATATGGTTACAAATTTCAGGCTTTTGTTAACTGTGATTTATTATTACCCACAATGAAAAGTGAAACTTCTGAAAGAAAAATACTTGACTGTAAAAATGAATTTAAGAGGGAAGGGCAATAAACAGATTGCATCTCCTGTTGTCCTTAAGAATTTTTTTAGCCTGATTATTATATGAACATATACTTCCTGTGAATTATGGGAATAGATCTCCACGTTTAATTCCCATAATGTGATTACAATTACAGATGATGTCAAAAATGGGTGGCTTAGGTGGAATGGATAATCCAGTGGGAGTAAGTGTCACTCCAAGCTTAGTGAATTATTGTTGTGACTGTTTTTCTTATAAAAAGTATCTTGTGATAAATTATCATCTTTGAGTAATGAAAACATTGAAAATTCACTGAAGCTTTCGTTTTGATTGTTCCATGCATTGAAGTTAAGAGCCATAGTTTGAAATGTATCCCTCCTGCTTCTTATGGCCTGATCACTGCCTCAACCTCAAAAGGATTACAAAAATTCTTTCATGGTTTGTTAATTAAAATGATTTTTTTTTCCTCAGATGATGAACAATATGGGAGGCATGGGAATGGGTGGTCAAGAAGATGGTGTAAGTATCAAGGATATTTACTTTTAAAGAGTGAACAAATCCATGTTACTTAAAAGTCTAATAATTTTCTGAAAATATATGCAGTGGTGCAATGTTAATCCAGATGGCCATGTCTCAAGCAAATTGTTCAGATTGTTCAGATATTATCCAGAATATTTACTCATCTTGCATCTGTAAGTGTTTTGTTTTTACAACCACTACTCATAAGGCTATTTAATTATACCCCTTGCAAACATAGTTAAGACGTGGGGGTTGAGGTATATTGGAATCAGTTTGTCCGTCTGTCTGTAGACATGATTTTGTCTCAACATTTTCTGAGATACTACTGCATGGATTTGTCTGAAAATTCGTACACTTTTTAATCACAATATAAAGATGTGCTATTTTCATTATGATAGAAAATTTTTTAATTTTTAGCTCACCTCGACGAAGTCGAGATGGGCTTATGCTATACCATTGGCGTCGGAGTTAGCGGTGGTGTCCTGGTTAAAGTTTTAGGAGCAGGTCCATTCCCAGGTAACTATAAGCCCTACCTTGACCAAACTTACACGGATGATGTATCTGGGGACAGTCACTACCACACTTGCTTCAGATGCTGGATCTGACCTACATTTTCCAGATGAGTGACCAGATTAAAGTTTTTGGAGCAGGTCCATTCCCAACCCTACCTGGACCAAACTTGCATGGATGATGCATCTAGGGATGTACACTTCCTCGTTCAGATGCAGGATCTGATGTACATTTTCCAGATGAGTGAATTTTATCCATATTTTAACCAATTTAGTATGGATGATGTATCTAGGGATGGACACTACCACACTTGCTTCAGATGCTTAATCTGACCTACATTCTCCAGATGAGTGACCAGGGTATTCTTTTTGGTATAGCTCAAAAACTATATGGCCTGTTATGATTAAACTTGAATCTAAGGAGGGGCACTTCCAGACTTTCTCCAGATGTTGGAACTGACAGACATTTTCTTGATTAGTGAACAAGTTATAGTTTTTGGAGCAGATCCATTTCCAAGTAACTGTAAGTCTTACTTAAACCAAACTTGCATGGATATGGATCTTGGAATGCACACAAACTAAAAAAAAATATGATGTACAGGGGTGTGCAATTAGCATCGCCCGACGCCCGGGGCTACCATTTTTTGGGGTCGGGCTAGTAGTTTTCTGCACGGAGGTAGCCCCTTGGGCTAGTAAAAATTAAAACTACATATGTAATACATGAAAATCAATATCGGTATTTTCACTCATTTTTTGCTATTAAATTATCAAGCAATGAAAAATTTTCGGCAGCATGCTCCTATTTTTCGTAAATCTCCATAATCTTATCAATTTTGCAGTACCACCTGAGTTATTTACTTTCAAAAACGATCGCTTTTATCTAATCCGAATTTCCTCTATTCCTCTGTTTATGGTAAATACACATGCAGATATCTCATTAAATTATTTGCAACCACTCAATCAACTGAAAGATAAGTGTTGTGTGGTTTACATAAAATATATTTCCAGCAAATTTAATGATTTAAGATGAAAAAAAAATGATTTTCATTTCATTTAAGATAAGATAATTTATTTGAATTCATTTTTATTTACTATCATAATTATTTATTTATACATGATTTAATTTTACTAGTGAGAATTAAACTTAGTGAGAATTAAACTTTAATTTTAAAAGAAGGACATTAAAACCCTGACTTTTTCAACGATAAACTTTAGTTGTTAACCCCCCCCCCCCCCCCCTTCATTTGGGCTAGTAACTTTTTACTTGGGGCTAGTAACTTTATTGCTGCCACTAGCCCGTGGGCTAGTGCTTAATTTTTTTAATTGCACACCCCTGATGTAAGATTTGCCTTACTTATAGATAACATTTGTCGAGGTGAGCTTCTTAATCTTTGATTAGGCCAGGTAAAATTAATCTTTAGATTCTCATCCCCGCCCGCCCCTCTCAAAGTGCCCCGCCCCGTTGTTTTTTATTTTGCTTTTTGGATGCCAAACGTTTTATTTTCATGTATTTTTATTCATCAAGAATCTGGGTCAAAATTTAAGAGTTATCTCCCGTCTGAATTAAAAGTCGCGTGGCGATATTTATAGCAAAAAAACTATGTGAAGAATGGAGAAAAATCGGCAATAAAAGCAGTTTAAATATGTAAGGAAAAGATCATTTGTCAGTATAGAGAAGGCAGAAAAGCAAAAATAACAAATAAACACATCTAGATACCATCACTGGCATGTGCAAGTTTAAAGAGATTTTAACCAAGTAAAAACAGACGAAGAAAATGCACATGGTCAAGTTTTAAATAACGATCTCCAGTTGTATGTGATTTCGCATTAAAAAAAAAATAAAACATCGTCCAAAGACTTCAGAGAATAATAGTGCTAAGGAAATGTTAAATCTTAAAACTGTTCAGGCCTAAGCTTTTCAGTAGAATATTTTACAGATTTACACAATCCTCATTCCTGTTTTGCAAATATATTTTAATGTCGAACATGTCAAGTCTCAAGAACGATTGAATGTATGAGGACAGTGGAAATCTGTGATAATCATACAGAACAGGAGGAGTTGTTGGTAAAACTATAAGGTATTTGGGGAAAGGCCAATGAGAAAACATGCATATGCAATTTATAAGTATCAGTACCTCATTTTGTTTGGCATGTGTCGTATCTGTGTACTTGATAATTTGTTAATAAAACTATAAATATTTTAATTTTCTATAACAAGAATCTTCTGAAGATATTTAAAAGAATATGAAAACAATAAAATCTATTCATATTGACATTAACATAATGTAAAAATTACGTGTACGAATGGTTTGTTGATACTTTCAATTATAAAAAATCCGCTCACCCACCCCAATTTTTTAGCAAATTAGGATGAGAATCTAAATTTTAAATTTATGTGGCCTTACCTATGTTTTTTTTGTACTTACTCATTTTGTTTTAGATTAAAATATTATAAGGCCTAGAATTATCAAACTTAATCAAATGTTGCAGTGTTGGGTAAATGGTGTGTCACACATTAAAATTAGGTCACTGTAACCTTTGATTAAGATTATATGGGAAAACCAGGTCAAGCTCACAACTTAAAATTATTTGGCTTAGAATCGTCAAACTTGGTCAGTAAATGCATCCTTGGTAACATCCTCACATCAGGTGTCCCGAGTCAACATGTTGTAAATGGACCTCTGACAAAGTTCTCTTGATATTTTTTCGGATGACTGCTGCAACTACAGGGAATTTGCAAATCTTGATTTTTTGTCTTATTTCTCAACCAATCACATTAAACTTTTCGTTGATAAACAACTTGTAACACCTACATTTGAGGTATCAACTGATTCCTGATACCCGATATTTGTGTACTTTAAAAGCTTTAATTTGATAAACCTTTAAAAAATGAATGATCTCTGTCAGGGGTTCAATGGCAACGTGTTGACTCAGGACCCTTGACATTGTGAGGATGCCTTACTGTATAGGGGATCAATTTCATGGGTTGTAATTTTCACGTTTTTTTCTCTTCTGACAAGATCGCTGTTTGTTGAATGCGCGGATTTTTTGTTTATAAAAGTTACGTTCCTTTATGTATAATTTTTTTGTTTATAAAAGTTACCTTCCTTTATGTATATATATCGTATAGCAAGAACGACAACCCGGTATGTAACAGTGAGATGTATGTACTACATGAACTATACTCAGGGGGCTTTAAATAAATTGTTTATTAGTAAAGTGTTCAGTAGTCTTGGTCACTCCTTAGGAATCATGCTTAACTGGCTGAAGTATGGGAAAATTAATTTCAAATTAGTGGTATAAATAACTGGATTTTTTTCGCCCGGTTTAGTGATGTAGCTCATATTCGAGGGGCGATTTTGAATGCAGTCATTACGTAAAGTCTGTAATGTACATGTACATGTTAATTTTTTTAAACAAATAAAATATAAACAAAAAATACAAATGTACCTGAATTATAGTGCCAAATTCCTGTTATGTGACAAGTGCCCAAGGTCATATTTGTAATGCACGGGTAATCATGACAGATATTGTGTTTTTAATGAACTGGTTAATGGGTGTTTAATGATAAATATGAAAAGCCTGCCTCATGAGCAGACGAGGGGCCCACCTTGCGTATATATATCAATAAATTTCACTGCATTTCATTTGTTTTGATCTAATACACAGTTTACGTATGATCCTGTTTTTACTATATTTGGACCATAGGAGTTGTAAATATGTCTTTGTGTAATTTTTTAAATTCATCTTGATAAATAAAATTCAGACGTTTTTTCATTCCTTTTATTTATGGGTTAAACTTCATGACTAAAACATTAGATATATGGCATTTTAATCAGTTTTTGCTATGATTTGGTTGAATTAAATATTGTTTATACATGCATGTACACTCTTTCCAAATAGTGTTGAAATCTTTAAAATTGGCTTATGGTAGGGCTTGTTTAGACGTCCAGTGTTTTTCTTTTGTTAGGCCCTTGAAAATCGGTTGTTTCTTTGATTTAAAATCCCTTTAAAAATTGTTGGGTGGACAACATTTGAACATCTGCCTGGCAGAGGTCTCCAAATTTAGACTTTTACTTGGCAATTGTGACCATTGATCATTAAGCATCAGTAAGGGATATTTTTCATGCCAACATCTATACTGCGACACTGGACCTACATTTTTATGATAAATCATATACGGTACCAATTTTTGATGAACCAGATGCACATTTAGACAAATTATGTCTCTTCAGTGATCCTCATGCCCAAATGTTGGAAATCTGAAATGTTTAAATTAAAACACAAAAACTTTAAGGAGCTGAAAAAGGGGTGCTAAAGAATGGAGCTAAATATGTCGAAGGATCATTCCACTGACCAGTCTTTATGTCCAACATCGAGACCCGTGACTTAGAATAAGCTCCTAAATGAGGTTGTGACTCCAAAACGAAACACTAGAATCACTGTGCCATATGCTATGCTCTTGACATTTTGCCTGTGTAAGCACTTGAAGATGATAGTAGGTTTAAAATAACATACTTTGAATGTCCGATGGTTGAGTATTTGTGAATCTTGTCTTTTTGTAAATATTTGATTTCAATAAATTTACACTGGCCTGAGATATTTCACAAGCCCAAATGAATAATAATTGTGAATTAAAATACCAAACATATTGCTTTTAAATTTCATTTGTATGATATTCAGTTTAAAAATCGGTTTCTTTTGTTCTTTCTTATTCATAAAGATATTATTCAGTTTTTATGCCCCCGGATCAAAAGATCCCGGGGGTATATTGTTTTTGTCCTGTCTGCCTGTCTGTCTGTCTGTTGTCAACTTTAACCTAGCCCATAACTATTGCACTGTCAAGGGTAAGGCTTTAATATTTGACATGAGTGTTCATTATGACAAGACCGGTTTGTTCCCGTTTTGCACACATTTGAATTTCAGGCATACAAAAAATGTGTGCAAAACAGGAATTTGTCCAGGTGAGATAATAACTTAATTGGTATAGTCTGTATCATACAGTAAATAGGAAAGAGGTGAACCTATAGAGAGAGAATAGGAAAATAAAATATGAATTAAAAAAAAAATAAGTGCATTTTAACTGATTTCTTTACTTGAATAACAAAATAGAAATTTTTACTAAATACCGTATTTGGCCGAATATAATACGCATTGGTGTAAAATACGCACCCCCCTTTTTGAGCCTGAAACTGGGGGAAAAAACGCAGTTCGGTTGTATTATACGCAGCAGTAAATTTTACCAAGCGGTGTTCTGAACTTTTGAAAATCGCGGTAATTTGATATGAAAATCGGCGCGGAGATAAAGTGCCGAAAATTTACAGAACACGATATTTTATTCAAATGTGTTTTTATTTCTTAATCTTGACTTTCCATATCGCGGCAATCTGAAGATTATTTATTTTAACAAAGCACGAGATAATGTTGCATTAAAGTATTAACAGAGTTTATTTTAATTTTTTTTTTTTAGCATACGGTGATATTGAAACTATACGTCGCCGTATTCTAACTATTCTTTGTAGAAATAATTTTATTTCAACAAAGCACGAGCTTTTGTTGCAAGTTTAACAGTTGTCATATTTATTTTTAGTTTAAGGTAATCATGTTGAAAATTACGTAAATTGAACAGGGCAAGCGATATTGCAACATCAAAGTATTCATAGACTACGATTTTCCTCTTTTGAACTTGAAATTAATTAATTAAATAAATAGCTGATGTTATAAAAATAAAATCAAATTTAACAAGCGTGTAAAGTTTTCAACACACCTCCAAAGCTGTGAAAAATGATGTACAAAGGTGGGATATATGTCTTCATACATCGAGGTAATCTTCGTGAATATCTTATTTTCTACAGAGCACGAGTAAATGATAACACTTAAGTTTCAACATACTTCATATTTCCTTTCTTAACTCTCAATTATTTTAACACGAGGCCAATATAAGAAAAAGTAAAATTCCATTTACAAGCGCTTAACTGTTTAATGTGTCGTAATCACATACGAAAGATCATAAACCAACCCCCGATTTTTAACAAAGAAAATAATCAAAGCCATTAATAAGGGCAGTAAATAATCAGTGCTCTAACTGTAAAAACAATGCTTTGGAGTTGGTAAACAATTTAATTGCCTGGAGGGGTGTTGAGGGGTAATTATCAAGTGACAAGCGCACATGTTCACAACATTGGCTTCCATTCATTGGGACGTATAGAGGGGTGTTTATGTTGAAATGAATTTTCACTGAGTTATTTAAAACCTAAAATAAAATTTATTTTATTGTATTTCATTAAAAAATGACTTATTACTTTCTTGACCGGTGTCTGACTGATTAGGTACATGTGTACTATGATTACGGAAGCACGTGGCGAAGGAATGTGTGAACATCTATAAATAACATCGTTAATGGCGGCCTACACGGAAACGATGAACACGCAGCTCAAATTAATTTTAACTTGCTTTTAAATTTAATTTAACTATCAAAAGGTTATAAATATAACATTTTTAACAAGCCTACATATCAACAATAACTTTCCGAAGTTTTCAATACGGCGATAAACAGCAAGAAATTGCATAAGTCTCTAGGTAATACTACGGTATGTGCGTATGATAGCCGTGTTTCACATGAAAGAAAAACCTATCAAAATCCCATTGTGGTGTAAAATACGCACCCCTTTCTCACAGAAAATATTTTGGGGAAAAAAGTGCGTATTATATTCAGCCAAATACGGTAATTAATCGTGAATAGTAATCAAAGTGAATTTATGAATTGTCAGCTTTAAAATTATTTATTTTTCAAGAAATGGCAGATATTTTTTCTAGATATAATAATTAATATTGAATAAAATATTCAATGAATCCCCCCTTTTCCAATAAAATCTATATACATTAAATAAATATTTATTATTCTTCTCTAGAATGCATAGGTAAAATACAGGTAAATCCTAACCAGAAATCAGACTAGAATTGTTATCAAAACACATTTCACACCTATTGTTCTATACCTAATTATCAAATGTGTGCAAAACGGGAACACACCGACAAGACCTTTCCATTGGTACAGAAATTTTTGATCATGTGAACTCAACTGTGACCCTTGACCTACATTTGAAAAACTTTAACATTGGCCATAACTATTGCACTGTAGTCTATGTACCACTCCAGAATTGTGTTACCATCAGGGGCATAGTGATTCACAAACACATCTTGTTCAGAGTGTATTTTCAAAACTGCTATCAGAAAAGAATAATTGACCTACCTTCCTACCCAACTTGAGATTTTAGATTCAGGTTAGGGAAAACAATGATATTTTTAATGATGGCCTGAAAGGGTACAGGATCCTGTACCAAGAAGTACGTAATATAGTTATTACATCACGGTCATCTAACTTACTGTAGTTTTTTAAAAATAAGGTCAAGAAAGCTCTAAATCTCGCATCATTTTCGGAGCATACATATGCTAGTGATAATCGAATGATTTGAACAATGAGCATCCTGAAAGGAGTGTACAATCTCTTGCCAATGGTTGCACTTCAGAAAGTAAGTCATCTTATTTCTAATGTTTAGACTTCCAAGAGTAACGTTTATCAGAAAGAAATGGTTGAATTTATTATTAGAAGAGTCCGCTTTTGGAAAATATCCACAAAAATGTAACACAAGACAACTGTATCTCCTAAATTTTATCAGCATGGTGCGCGAACATTCAGCAAGATATTTCCGCAGCACTTCTTCCTTATATGTCCTTTAAAAATCTACATTGATCGATCTCCCAGTGTATTCAACAGCGGGTTGTCCCATCCAATTGATGTTTCCTATCTCCACTGTGAAAGAGTTCCATTAAGTAATTTAGCATACTTGATTCTGACCATCCGGCGCGCCCGGGTAAACCGGCGATGACCGGCGACACACTTGATTCTGAGCCGGTATTGCGCATGCATCAAGCCGGGTGAGCCGATTGAGCTGGAAAAATTTGATAGGCTAGGGTGGCTTCAACATGGCATCCTTGGGGATAGTGTTGAAAGTTTTTTGTTTTAAGACGTGAAGCTTTTGATCGAGGTACGCTTGTGAAATGAACATATTTGCAAAAAGTGTAGTCCTTTTCTATGCTAGATAATGTTTTACGATAGAAATACAATATTTCTATTACTTTACATCAGCCTGTTCGCTTGATTCTAAGAGCATACCGGGGTTTACCCGGCTTGGTTCGGCTCGGCCGAATTCTATCACAATCAAGTATGCTAATTGTGATATAAAGTATTAAGGCATGTAAAAATAAGTTCCCAATGTATCTCATTTGGAAGTTAAAACAACCAGGTTATTTGCATCCGGATTATCATGTAACCACTGTATAGGTAATTTCATTGGCGATATAAACTTATGAAGAGTCTCTTAATGAGCTCGTATAATTTTTTTTTCTCAAAGCAGTGGCTTTAAAATGTTCCTAATTTTGAGAGGGAAAAAAAGTAGAAAATACCTGTTTTTAATTATTTTTCAGGGAAAAGACTCCGAAGACAGTGATGATGAAGGTAAGTGTCACTAGTGGATTACTGAAGCCAATTTTTTCCTTAATTCAACTGAGTGAAAGGCTTAAGGTATTCCATCCCTAATAGCCTCAGATTCAATAAATTTGACTACATAACAGATGTGTACATGTGGAATACTCAGTATATTTAGACATAATTCCCATTTATTACTATTAGCACGTAAGAATGGAACTTGTCCTAATTAATGACCTTGACCTTTGTTGAAGAGTTATCTCCCTTTTTTTAAGTAATAAGAATCAATTTTAAAAAATCTATATGGTAAAAGAATTGTTTTCAATTGTCATTCTATTTTTAATTATTTGATGCATCTTTCCACCAGAGTATTTATTGATATTATTTGAATTTTTATATTAAAAATTCGTTTGTCTCCGTAGACTTCAGTGCAATTTCTGTTAATTAATTACTGCTTAGTGAGTTACATTTTTAAAACTTTCTCTTGGTAAATCCTTTTCTACTGGCCAATTTTAACCAAAGTTGGTAAAAAAAAAAAGGGGGGGGGGGGGTCATATGTTTCTCAACATTTCTTGTTAATATATAGAATTATTTGTGTTTTACTTCCAACAGATGTAAATGCTTTTAAGAATGTAAACAATTATTAACTTGCACACTTGAACTATATATTAAATTATTGTTAATAATGGGCCTGTTCATCAGTCACCTGCATACGTGTAAACTCTACAGCTTTAGGCTGAAGCCTACCACTTTTTAGGTCACCTGAGTCAGTCACTCAGGTGACCTATTGCTATCTGTTTATTTCAGTCATCATACGTCATGCTATGTATGTCAGTCGTAAACTTTTGAACAATTTTAGCTTCTTCTCAGGAACCAGGGAACCGATTTCAACCAATTTTGGCATATGGCATCTATGGATAAAGGGTTAAAAATTGTGAAATTAATGGCCCCTGCCCCCCTGGAGCATGTGGGGTGAACTAAAACCATCAAAATTAATGCAATCTTTAAAAATCTTCTTTACTCCTGGACATCAAGAAGTCAAACTGTTGGTTTCATTGTAATAAGCATTGAGCCCTCTACCAAAATTGTGAAATTCATGTCCCCATGGTCAGGGGTTCTGGTGTTAGGATGGGGCTCTGTTGAATATATCATAAAAATGCATCATTCCTTAAAAAATTTCTCCTCTGCTTCTGGGTATTCAGCAAACAAACTAAATACATAGATATGATGAGCAAGTGTGTCTCTTCCGAAATTTTGAATTTCATGGGTCAGGATTTTTGGTGTTAGAGCTGGGCTCTATTAATTATAGATTGAAAATTAATTCTTTGAAAATCTTCTTCTCGGCTCCTGGGTATTAAGTCAATAAACCAATTGCATGGTTATGATGAGCAAGGGTGCCTCTTCCATAATTTTGAATTTCATAGCCCCTGGGTCATTCATTCAGTTGGGGGGGGGGGGGCTCTATTGATTATATATTGAAAAATGACTTAATGATTTCAAAATCTTCTTCTTCATTTTTGGGTACTCAACAAAGAAACTTCCTGCATAGTTATGATGAGCAAGGACGCCTCTTCCAAAATTGTGAATTTCATGGCCTCTGGGTCAGAGGGGTGTAGGGAATTAATTCTTTGAAAGTCTTCTTCTCTGTTCCTGGGTATCCAACACATAAATCAAGTGCATAGGGTGCCCTTTTCAAATTGTGAAATATGTAGCCCAAGGTTTAGGGGTTCTTGTGGGGTTGAGGCTCTATTGATTATATAGAAAAAATGCATTCTGTTTCTTGGGTATTAAGTAAACAAACTAATCATATAGTTATGATGAGCAAGGGTGTCCCTTCCAAAAGGTGGGGCCACAATGGGGTTAAAGTTTTAAATAGGAACATGTAGGAAAAAATCTATAAAAATCTTCTCAAGGACAGCAAAGCCATGTTTAGTCATAATGATATTGTAGTATCCTCAGGTAGTGTAGATTTGAATTTTTTTGGGTTTGGGTGAAGCCACAATGGGGGTTCAAAGTTTTAAATAGGAAAATAAAGGAAAAATAATCTTTAAAATCTTCTTCTCTAGAACAGCAAAGTCATGTTTAGTCATTTTGATATGGAAGCATCCTCAGGTAGTGTAGATTTGAGTTTGTTCAAATCATGACCCCAAGGGCACAGGTACTTGTGGACAGGACCCCCCTCCTCCCCCCTACATATATTTCTGTCTTAGTTCATGCTATCGGATTGACTCTGCATCTCGTAAGAATCCCACAATTGATCCTTAAACAGCATTGCAGTCAGTGTGTTGAAAAATCCTTAGGTAAACGCAACGGAAGTGAATAGAGAATATATTACCTATTATGATAACACCCGAGAAAGATTATTACGTCAGACCAAAACTATCTCGGATGTTATAGTAATAAGTGATACATTCTCGATGTACTTCCATTGCGTTTACCAAAGGATTTTTCAACACACTGACTGCAATGCTGTTTAAGGATTAATTCTGGGATTCTTATGAGATGCAGAGTCAATCCGATAGCATGAACTGAGACAGAAATATATGTAGAGACAGTGTGAACTGGGGTTGAATATCGGGGGAGGGGGGGTTCCTGTCCACAAGTACCTGTGCCCCATGGGTAGGGTGGGGTCACAATGGGGGATCAAAGTTTTACATAGGAATTTTTCTTGAAAAATCTTCTTCTCAAGAACAGCAAATCCATGTTTAGTCATTAATATGGAAACGTCCTCAGGGAGGGTAGATTTAATTTTTTCAAACCATGACCCCCAGAGGTAGGATGGGGCCACAATGGGCACTCAGATTTTAATATACAAATACCTAGGAAAAATCTTTAAAAAAGCTTCTTAAGAACAGCAAAGCCATGATTGGTCTTATTTATATGGAAGTATCCTCAGTTAGTGTAGAATCTAGTTTGTTCAAATCATGATCCTGGGGAGGGGGGGGGGGGGGAGTGGAGGGGGGCCACAAGGGAGATCAAAGTCTTCCATAGGAATATGTAGTGTGTTATTGTTTACTTCTTTGCAGTTGATATTAAATCCAGAAAGTGCTTGTGTTGAATGAAATTTGGAAACTGCGCATTTTCTTTTTCTTTTATGATTATTTTTACTTCGTGACTTTTGAGGTCTGAATCTCCCTCTTTTTTAAAACACAGTAGGTAAACATGTATGGTCACCAGTATTAACTAAAAAGAATTTGCTTTCTCAACAAATTTAAAGTTACTTTTACAAAAAAGGAGAGAATATTTAGTGCAATTGGAAGTTGTGCATAAGTATTACTGGTATAGAAAGACATTCTGTGTCAGTAGACAGACTTCCTACATAGAACTGAGGATTCCTGGGAGTTTCAGTGAGACATGCTGGAGTTCTTCGTTCCCCCTCAAACATGGCTAAATCTTTTAAACAAATGTTTAGTTTTGCTGTACAGAATTAAACAATTAAGAATTTTGTTACCTAATTAATGCAAAGCCCTCCCCCCTTGTCAAAAGTCTTTTTTTTAATGGAAAATGGGAGGCAGTGAAAGAATAGAAATGCAATTAAATAAAATTCAGACAATGCCGAGATGTAAAGAATAAAATTCTTGCATGCATGTAAATTTTCATTTAAAAAACTGTAAATCTATTACTTTGTACTGCACTGTTCAGACATCAAATTATGAAAATAGTAGATCTTAAGATGAACAATGAAATAATTATCAAAAACTCAGAAAAAATGGTAATTATATAGTCTATGTATAGTCTCAGTATAATCTAGGCAAACAGTTCATAACACCACATTTACTACTGGATTTGAAGCCCTATTGTGACATCACAAACGACACATCAAATATTTTGTAAACAATAGTTGCATTGGGAGCCAGCTGTGTATCTGAGCAGGTTAAACCTTAGGCAAGTTGTCGCATTATTATCCAAACTTTTCGACGTGAAATGATGTCTTACACACTTAGAAAGGAAAACATGGAAGTTATAACTTGTAATTTGGACATATTTAATCTTTCTGCAATTGTTTGTTATGGAAGTGATGCCACCATGCAGCCTCAATAACCTATTTAATTGAATCTAGACTACACATAATAAAACAACTACAGACTCTTTAAGTGGTGAATATGGTTTGATATATACCACCAAAAGAGTCGTTATGTATATATTTCAGCTTTAAATAAATACATTGAAGCATATCTTTAGTTAGGAACGTAGCATTTCAACCCACCAGTCCACAGGAACCATGTAAACTTACTGGAACTGTACCAGATTTGTCTGTCCTTTTGGTGACAATATACAGCCTCACCTCTGTATATCAAAGCTTCACTGACTATGCTGACACTTATGTCCTGCCTATATCAATTTGATAATATCCGAAAACAGGAAGATATTTAGATGATTTAACATAGATCTCATTGGACTGGGCATTGAACTTAAGTAAAATGCTTCATTTTGATTTTTCTGTAATGTTAACTAATTTTATTTTTTCAAAAATGAAAAAAAATAATTTTTTGGTAATGATAAACCAATTTCCAGAATTTTGGATAATGCTATGCAGCCAGTTTTTCCAAAATGGAACTATAAATTGCTGCAAAAAGAATTCATCTTCTGGCATCATTTTTAAACACTAATTTTTCTTAGCACTCTTTAATGAATTTAAGTTCTAATAGACCTGATAGAACTATGGTGTTCATGAAAGCATGATTGTGTTTCCTGCTTTGTAGCTTCATTAAAGATGTAAATAAATCTAAGAGTGGTCAGCTGTTTATTTACTAGTAGCATAATAATTCATGCCTTATGGAATATATGCTTCATGGAAATTTACTTTTGTTAATTATTTGCAAAAAAAAAAAACCCTTTGCCTTACCTAAACTATCTATATGCCTATCACTTACATCATTAATAAGTTTGTACTTAAAGTAATATGAGATGCAACTTTGATGTCAGAAATTTTTGTTTCAATGAAAGAAAACAGAATGTTAATATACTGTATACAGGGTTATTTTCGCCCTTTCACACTTGCAAACAATTTTGCCCCGTTTTAAATTCGCCCACTCATAGTTTGTTTAAGAAATTATACTGTATTCTTTGAATTCGCCCCATTTTAAATTCGCCCCAGTGAGGGTAGGGCGAAAGAGGCGAAAATAAAACGGGGACGAAAATTTCCCTGTATACAGTACTTCTGTCATTCATATTTGCAATGGAAGAACTATTTATAAGCTTTGATTGAAACAAAATTACAATATTGATTTCTTATATAATGCTATATATTGGTTTGTACAGAATCCTTTATTCTGAAACAATTTGATACTTTATTTAGGAGATGAATTTAATTTTTGAGAATTCATGAGGACATGAACTACGATGCTTCATGCCTGTATATTTCATGATAAATATGCAGGTGTGAAGTGTTGTCGTTCATGTACCTCACGAATTCTCAAAAATTGAATTCATATCTTATATTTACATTATTTTTCTGATGACTTGCCACATATTTTTGTCATTCAACAATCATTTTTTAATAAAAAAGTTTGCACTATTTTTTGACTTCAATCACATCACAATGGAAATATTCTTACTCATCTCACGGTAGTTCATGAGAACATGAACTTTTTCTAATTTGCAAAGAATCTTAAGGAAAAATATTTGGAAATGTAAATATTTCTGTCTAATTGATCAGAAAGGTTTAAGTTACATACAAATTTATCATAATAACACATTTTAACAGCAAATTAAAATTCTCAAAAATGCAGCTCATATTGCTTTAAGTGAAAAGTAAATAATTTGAGCATTTCTGAGCAAAATTTCTGTTCTTCTTAGCATGAAATGTATATTTTGATAAAGATTGATAATTTTTTTCTGAGGTTTTAATTGTCATTCTTAAGTGTCCAATTCCATGGCTGCTTAAGTCTATTTAAAAGTATGATGCAACATGGTTTGCAATATTTTGTTTATTCATTATGTGTTTGATATTTTATTAATTCAATAGTTGTTTGATATTTTATTAATTCATGAAGCTTAATCATGCGTAAACAAGTATGACAAATTTATTTGTAAAGAAATGTGAAGAATTTTGCCAGGACTTATAAATTTGACAGATGTTTAGGAAGAACCGGTTTTCAGGGGGGGCCGGTTTGGAGAAGTTTCACTGTATGTGCAAAATATCAAATCCATACCTCTAACAGTTCTCAAGATATAAGGTGTGACAGACAGACAGACAGACAGAGATGCCAGGTAAAGGTCACCTTGACCTACTTTTTGAATTTTATGGCTAATCTTTTTCAAAACAATTAAGGTCATTAATTTGAATACTGAGAGGTTTAGAATCATTAAATCTTGTAAGATGATGAATCTTGGGGCCATAAAACATATTTATTAAAAAGTAGGTCACAGTGAGCTACAGTACCAACCAGACCCAACCTGACACCTAAGCAGTCTCAGAAAGCAGTCCCCGGGACTGCTTTGGGACCACTCTGGGACTGCTGTGGAACTGCTGTGGGACTGCTCTAGAAAGCAGACCCAGCAGTCCCTGGGACTGCTTTGTTCACTCATGCATGGAAAAGGTTCTGAGTCACATGATATCAGTGTTACACATCACTGAATATGCTGGTCAACAATGACACTAATTTCAATCTATATACTGCAAAAAATCTTTGTTTCAATAAATGTGTATAAATTTATTTCGGGATTAATTAATTTTAAACATAATCTGAGGGTTCCATTTGCGTGATTTACAGATGTACGTGTACTCAAACGTTTATATAATAAAAGTATTATTGTTTTCTGTTACATAGATAATCTAACGATAATTAAATTGGCAAGTCAGTGAAAATAATCATGACTGAAATATAATACTCAAAGAATTTTTCAAAAGCTCCAGTACTTAAGAAAACTGCATTCAGAGTATAGTATGGAAATCGGCCTTGCTCTGTAATTATAAGGTCTATTTAAAGCTAGTTTTGATAGAAAATAAATAACTCAAGTTTAATTTTCTATAAAAAATAAATATATAAATATGGAAACCAATATCAATCACAGTAAATAAAGAAATTGATTTATTTTGGTGAAAAATTAATATATACCACAAAACTGTGTTTAAATATTCATGTTATTAGTAGGTGTGAATGTCTTCTTTGTTGAATATTTATTATTTGTTCCTATATGCGTAGTGTGATTTTCATAACAGTTCAAAAATGACTGTCGCATGAGAATTGATACTGCTCAGAAAGAAATGGATCATCAATTTCAACTGTCTTTTATAGTTACATTGTTTATTGGTAATCTCATTTCTGAGTAAGCTCCGCCCATTAAATTAATTAACCCCGCCCACTGGGACTGCTGGGACCGCTGGGACTGCTTTCTGGGACCGCTGTGGGACTGCTCTGGGACTGCTTTAGTCCCAGAAAGCAGTCCCCGGGACTGTGTCAGGTTGGGTCTGGTTGGTACTGTAGTTTTTGAACTTTGCAGGCTTTCGATTTCAAAGCATTTTAAAGGCATAATTTGGACATTTTAAGGCCTATGATCATAAAACTTTGTAAGTTGATGCATCTTAGGTCCTCAAAAAAAGTCAACTGAAAAGTAGGTCACCATGACCTACTTTTCAATTTATTTGACTATAATTAAATATTTTGTGTACTAATTGGCTAAGAATCATCAAACTTTGTCAGTTGATGCATCTTGGGTCTTCGGAGTAGGTCGACTGAAAAGTAGGTCACAATGACCTACTTTTGAAAATTTATGGCTTTAATTAAATATTTCGGGTACTAATTGGCTTAGAATAATTAAACTTTGTCAGTTGATGCATCTTGGGTCAGCAGAGTTAGTCGACTGAAAAGGTCACTGTGACCTATTTTTGAAATTTTATGGCTTTATTTAAATATATCAGGTACTTATTAGCTTAGAATCATCAAACTTTTTCAGTTGATGCATCTTGGGTCCTCAAAGTATGTCATCTGAAAAGTAGGTCACTTAGACCTACTTTTGAAATTTTATGGTTATAATTTTTAAAATATTTTAGGTATAAATTGGCTTAGAATCATCAAACTTACTTGGGTCCTCAGAGAGTGACAAGTGATAAGTAGGTCACCATGACCAACTCTCAGGTACTAATTGGCTTAGAATCATCTTGGGTTCTCAGAGTGTTTCATCTAAAATGTAGGTCATGATGACCTACCTTTGGAATTTCAAGGCTTTATCTAAATATACAGGATACTTAGAGGCATCAAATAGAAGTGATAGGTTGTGCAGTTTATCAGAAGAGTGATTCAAGGCCCTTGGGCATCTTTTTTTTTCTGAGTATCTCACAAATCGATTATTGTCATAAAAAAGCACAGATAAGATTTATTGATGATTTCACGATAAACTGGACAAGAAAGATTTAATATTTATTGCTATAAAAATGTTCCAATGAAAAAGCATCTTAGAGAAATTATAAACCTTTAAAATGAAACAATGTCTATTATCCTGGAAACCAAAAAAAAAAATTAAAAGTACTGAAGTAAATTCAAAGTACTGAAAAAAAAAGATTGGGTAGGAGCAATTTTGACGGGTTGGTCGGAGTACATCGAACAAATCATTTTTAGCTCACCTGAGCTGAAGGCTCAAGTGAGCTTTTCTGATCAAAATTTGTCCGTTGTCTGTTGTTGTTGTTGTCGTTGTAAACTTTTCACATATTCATCTTCTTCTCCAGAACCACTGGGCTAATTTCAACCAAACTTGGCACACAGTATCCTTGGGTAAAAGGGATTCAAGTTTGTTCAAATGCAGGGCCACAACATTTTCCAAGGGGAGATAATACTGAATTGGTGAAAAATTGATAGCATCTTTTAAAAATCTTATCAAGAACCACTGGGTTAGAAAATATAAAACTTAGGTGAAATCATCCTTAGGTAGTGTAAATTCAAGTTCATTCAAATAATGACCCCCAGAGGATAGGGTGGGTCCACAATGCATGATCAAAGTTTTACATTGGAATACATAGGAAAAATCTTAAAAAATCTTCTCCTCAAGAACAGCATAGCCATTATTGATCGTATTTACATAGAATCATCTTAGGTAGTGTAGAATCAAGTTTGTTCAAATCATGACCTCATGGGGTAGTTTGGGTACACAATGGGTGGTCAAAATTTTACATAGGATTACATAGAAAAAATTCTTAAAAATCTTCTTCTCAAGAACAGCAGAGCCATTATTGATCATATTTACATGGAAGCATTCTCAGGTAGTGTAAAATCAAGTTTGTTCAAATCATGACCCCTGGAGGTAGGGTGGGGCCGTAATGGGTGATCAAAGTTTTACCTAGGATTACATAGAAAAAAATCTTTAAAAATCTTCTTCTCAAGAACAGCAAAGTCATGATAGGTCATATTAATATGGAAGCATCCTCATGTATTGTAGATTCAAATTTGTTCAAATTATGATCCTTAAGGAGTAGAGATGGGCCACAACAGAGGATCAAAGTTATACAGATGAATATAAAGGATATATCAATAAATAAATTCTTCTCAATAACAGGAAGGCCATGATTAATTCAGAAGCATCTTCAGGTAGTGTAGATTCAAGTGTGTTCAAATCATATCCTTGGGGGTAGGGCAAGGCCACAATGGAAGATCAAATGTATTTGAAAAATTCTTGAAAAATCTACTTAAGCCATGATTAGTCAAAGAAATATGGAAGCATTCTAAGGTAGTGTAGATTCAACTTTGTTCAAATTATCCCCCCTCCCCCGACCACTTTCATATTTAAACTTTTCAATACTGAACTGATTTCTGCTTTTTTCCTAGCAAAAATGCTCAGGTGAGCAATTGGGCCCATGGGTCTCTTGTTTATTGTTTGCCTAATGATTATTTAGGCCCATTGAATATGGTTATAGATAGCTTATCTGAGGAAATAATGTGTTATTGATGACAAGGCTCATAGGCCTATCATTATTTACAGCCTTACACATTCCATTAACAGTGTCAAATGAATTGGTTAAAAAAGACTTGACATAAATTTTAGTAATTTTTTTTTTCAGATTTGCCAGACTTGGAATGATTTATTTAAAAGAAAAAGGAAAGAAACTCTACAAACTTCACATGAACAACTTATTTCTTTTGAATGACATCATTAAGTCGGAGACTGAGAATATTTACTGACTTGAAGAACACCAGAGTCTCGATTACTAGATATACTTACTTTTTATATGATTTTGTTTTCTATACTTATGGAAAAATAGTAGATGCAAAAAATTAAGTTAATGGATTCACTATGTCCGTTGCTCTAGAAAATATTATAGAACTGCACGTCCTTGTGGCTACCAAGAATCTTATTTTAGCAATCAACAAGTTCTGTGAAGTATCCTCAAGTGAATCCCTTTCATGCCATCTTCATCCCATTTTTGTATTTTGGTGCAGTTGTATGTATCATATTTCCAATTTAAAACAATAAAATAGTTGTTTTTCAAATAAATATTGTTTTGACTGTGCTTGGTGAAAAAAATACATGTATAAGTAAAGATAGTAAAATATTATGCAGATGTAAAAGGTCTGATAAAATAATATTCATTGTGATGGAAACTTGCTCAGCTGTCAAGATTGTTTTAGGTCAAGATCTAGTAAATGACTTTAGACTAACTTTTTGGTGCTAGATCCATTATGACGTCATAATCATTTTCAACTTTCTTTTTCCCGTACTTTACGGCTCTAATAAAATTATGTAGAAAATAAAGTATTTTCATGGATTCCAATTTGAAATCATGAGAAAAGTAATCCCGATACCTATATTCAATTTAATATTATTTTAAAGAAGAAACCAAGAACATACAAATTAACGTTTTCTGAGAGACTGTAGGCAATCTGAATACATTTCATTGGTCTGATTTGGAAAAAACTCCCGTCTTCATGACAGGTTTTCTTATTTTTTCATTAAAAATGACAGTTTAAAATATGATTTTTCGTCTTATTTACCTACAAATTATGCCCCGAAACAACTTCTCTGACCAAGCTAAAATTATAAAGCATCATTAAAGGAATTGATTTCTCAAATCTGAGAAATCTGTAGGCACCTTTCATTTACTAGATCTTGACCTTAAGCTACACCTCTCCAAACTAAATGATTATACTCTGCTGCTTTGATTGAAGTTTGTCCATCACTTGTCCAAATTTTATGTCACCTGAGTCACTCAAGGGACCAATTACTATCTGTTTTTGTCCATCATCATGCATTGTGTGTTCCTTTTACATTCATTTTCAGCTTCTTCTCTTGAATTGCTGAACATTCAACCAATTAAGCATAAATGAGTGAAGGGAAACAAATAATGTGAATTTCACGGTCCCTCCCTCCTGACGGGTGGGGTTTTAACAATAAAAATTAATACAATCTTTAAAAATCTTTTTCTTTACTCTGTTTTAGAAGCGTTCTTTCGGCAAGAAACAATAAATATCATTATGACAGCAAATAATAAAAATTTTAATTTTACATAATTACCTCCTCATAATGTAACCATGCGGTTTGAACCAATAGGCAAGGGTTGAACATTCGCACTTTTATTCCGTTTGTGAGTAAACAGTCTAGAGTTAACACTGAAATCAATATTTTTGTTGAAAAAGAACATTTGGATTCTTCTTGCCAAAGTAACGCTGACATTCATTTATTTGTGCTAATAAACACATAAAAGCAACTTTTTAGGTCACCTGAGTCACTCAGGTGACCTATTGCTATCTGTTTTTGTCCGTCATCGTGCGTTGTGTGTTAACATTTGAACATTTTCAGCTTTTTCTCTGAAACTGCTGAACGAATTTCAACCAATTTTGGCATATAGCATTTATGGGTAAAGGGGAACAAAAATGTAGAATTTCATGGTCCCTGCCCTGCCGGGGCCTGAGAGGTGGGGCTAAAACTACCAAAATTAATGCAATCTTCAAAAATCTTTTTCTTTACTCGTGGACATCAAGGAGTCAAATTGTTGGTATGATTGTTATAAGCATTAAGCCCTCTACCAAAATTGTGAAATTCATGGCCCCAGGGTCAGGGGTTCTTGTGCGGGGGGGGGGGGGGCGCTATATAGATCATATAGTGACAGTGCATTATTTCTTGAAAATCTCTGATCCTGGGTATTTAACAAACTAACTAAGTACATAGTTATGATGAGCAAGAATGCCTCTTCCAAAATTGTGAATTTCATGGTCCCTGGGTCAGGGGTTCTGGTGTTAGGGTGGGGCTCTATTGATTTTAATTGTGAAAATGCATTAATTCTTTGAAAATCTTTTTTTCTGCTCCTGGGTATTAAACAAACTAAGTACATCATTATGATGAGCATGGGTGCCTCTTCCAAAATTGTGAATTTCATGGCCCCCGGATTGGGGGTTCTGGTGTTAGGGTGGGCTCAGTTGATTTTTTGTTTGTATGTTGTTTAATGTCCCTCTCGAGAATTTTTCACTCATATGGAGACGCCACCACTTGCCGGTGGAGAGCTGCAAATTTTGACTTTACTCGGCACTTACGGCCATTAAGCAGTGAGGGATCTTTTTCGTGCCAGCACCTACTGCGACATGGGACCTCGGTTTATACAGTCTCATCCGAAGGACCGGTCTCCACTTCCCACAGTGGGATTCGATTCCGCGACGTAAGGATCAACTCCTTACTCTGCGCCAAGCGGGTGACGGGATCAGTTGATAATATAGTGAAAATGCATTAATTCTTTGAAAATCTTCTTCTCTGCTCCTGGGTATTAAACAGACTAAGTATATAGTTATGATGAGCACGAATGCCTCTTCCAAAATTGTGAAATTCATAGCTCCTGGATCAGGGGTTCTGGCGTTAGGGTGGGTCTTTATTGATAATATAGTGAAAATGAATTAGTTCTTTGAAAATTTTCTCTGCTCCTGGGTATTATACCCCCGCTCTGAAGGAGAGGGGGGTATACTGTTTTACCCTTGTGTGTCTGTCTTTCTGTCTCTCCATCTGTGTGTCTGTCTGTCCGTAACAAATTTTGGTTGCAGTTTTCTCAGCAACTACTCATTGCAGATGCTTGAAATTTTAGCACACACTTTGTTTAGGCATGCCATATAGTGGGATTTATTTTTGTACAAATCCGATGTCAACTTCCTGTTTATCCGTGCGTCTGTCCATACCATACATAACAAATTTTGGTTTCAGTTTTCACAGCAACTACTCATTGCAGATGCTTGAAATTTTAACACACTCTTTGTTTAGGCATGTCATATGTTGGGATTCATTTTTGTACAAATCCGATGTCAATTACCTGATTATCACTGTGTCTGTCCATAACTGAACTTGTGTATTCACATCACAGCGGGGGTATTATTAGTGAGCACTGGCTCACAGACTTCTTGTTTAAACAAACTAAGTGCATAATTATGATAAGCAAGAATGCCTCTTCCAAAATTGTGAAATTCATGGTCCCAGGGTCCGGGATTCTAGTGAAAAAAGGGGGGCTCTTTTGATTATATAGTGAAAAAACATGATTTCTTTAAAAATCTTCTTTTCTGCTCCTGGTTGCAAAGCAAAGAAACTAAGATAATAGTTATAATGAGCAAGAGTGTTTCTTCCAGAATTGTGAGTTTCATGGCCTTTGGGTCAAGGGTTCTGGAGTTAGGGCAGGGCTCTATTGATTATATAGTGAACATGCTTTAATTCTATAAAATAATCCTGTCTGTACCTGTGTTGAGCAGGTACACGAATTGCATGGTTATGATGATCAAGGGTGCTTCTTACAAAATTTTAGAAACTCCTGGGCATATTGGAAGCAAACAGTTTAATAGTTTTAATAAGCAAGGACATTTTTACCAGATTTTTTTAACATTTGTTCCTGACCAGGGCTCTATTAATTTGTATTCTACTGAGAGAAGTTTTCCCCTTTGCTATTCACTTTTGATAATTAATCACTGTAAGTAATGCATTTGCAGACCTGTTTACTCTTACGATTTCGCCGTATTTTGTACGGATTTTGAGTCCAAAATACGTCTCACGTTCAGTGATATCGGGTTACTAAAACTCGGTGGTCTAAAACAAAAACCCGAAAGAAAGCAAGGTATGATGCTTTTCTTTGTTGTTAACTCATGTTTTGGTAATCAGAAATGTACCGTATATACTCGCTTATAAGTCGGTTTTGTGGGAGTTAACTTATTGCGACTTATACGCAAGATATAAAAAGAATGGTATTTTAATGGGTCAATCCCTCTAATTTAAGCTTAAAAAAATACAACCGACTTATAGGCGGACCGACTTATAGGCGAGTATATACGGGTAGTTGATCTCTAGTAATATATGTAAAATCGATGGAAAGTGAAATCTTACGGGCAAATGCCAAATCTCACTGACAAATCTAATAAAAAAATACTGAGAGAGAACGATATGGGTAAACAGGTCTGCATTTGAAAGGTTTAAAGAATAAGTGAATTATGCAAGAATATTTATTGTACATGTATAATACAAAAAGTACTGTAGTTAGAATGATCAGGTAGACTTGTATATTATAGATAAATAAAAATGAGACAAAAATAATATATCTTATTAATTTTTCTTCAAACAATGTGAAAGGTTACAAGATAGGGTTAAAATAGTACGGAAGCACAAATAGTTTGTTAATAGTCTGCATGATTATACTGATAAATGGGGGACAGATTAGAACTTAAATTATAAGTTGTTACTGAATACTAGACTAATTATTTTTGTTGATTCTGATCCATGGCCGTAGGAACCGGGGGGGGGGGGGGTGCCCCCCAATAATTTTGCCGATATTTAGAATACTATAGAAAACATAGCCATAAAAACGTGTGATGACCTTTTTTTTTTTTTTTTTTTTTTGTAGTCAAGGAATTTTTGGTAGTTGATAGTGCCTATCCAACTGAAAATCTGAAAATGTATGGTTGTGCCCCCCCCCCCCCCCAACTGAAATTGCTTCCTACGGGCCTGCGAGCATTCTATTTCTCTTGCTTTTAGCCAACAAAGCTTCATCTATCAGTTTATTTTATACTCTATGGATCCTCTAAATTGTTGTATTATACTCAGGTGACCGTTAAGGCCCTTGGGCCTCTTGTTTATTAATATCAGATGGTGCCTTAGGCTATTGACCAAAAGGGGAAAGTAATATCAAAATAAATTTAAGTCAAAGCAGTTCAGTTAGAACCTCCCCCCCCCCCTTTCGGTCCAGTTCGCCTCCCTAAAGTCAAATACTTGCCGACGCCTCTGTTATGCTAGTGACAATCGAATGATTTGAACAATCAGTATGCCGAAAGTACAATGTATTGCTAAAGGTTGAACTTCAAACATTAGGTTATCTAAGTAAGAATGTTTAGAGTATTTTATCAGCATGCAAAAGTAACGATTATCCGAAAGAAATGGTTAAATTTAATTGGAAGAGTAAGCTTTGTGAAAAGTATCAAATGAGTGATAGTTTAAAACAGGAGAACTAGCTCCTCTCAAGTTTTATAAGCATGGTGAAGCAA